TTAATACTTGCGCAACTGAAATAATATTTTTTATTTTTTATTTTTATTCTTAACAAACTAAAAAGTAATGATAATAATTAAGAGGACATGGTTCTATAATTCAAAAATAAAATATTATTTCATGTAATACATTTCAGTTTTTTTTCTTTTACTTATATATATTTTGAAGGAAATTTTAGATCTCAAAAATATTATGTAACTAGAGGATGTTCCACGCATTGCGAGGATTTGAAATTAATATAAAAATATGTAAAAAAAAAGCAAATATATAATAGGAGTCTGTTTAGTTTTTTTTTCTTTTTGAATAAATAATTTATATATTTTTGTAATGAAATATGTGTTTCAATTTAGTAAGTAACTAGTTGAATACCCGCGTATACACGCGAGATGTCTTCATATATATATATATTTTCTTTTTCTAATATGATTAATAAATGATTTAATTAGTTTTAAAAAAATGTTTTGACTGTCTTGTTATACAAAATTTTGGATTTGGTAAGGAACTCCGGTGATTTTATTATTTGTATAGTAACTTATATTTTTGAACTGACACCATCATCACCCAAGATTCTATGACTCAGTCGTTTTCTTTTTTCTAGCTATCTTTGAACCATCTTCTTTCAGTTTTAGAAGTATTTTAATTGCGGTAGCAAGTGTTTAGTTTCAAATTGAATTTTTTAGAGAAATGAAAACATTAGATTTACATTCTTTCACCAAAGAAAAAGTTAGGCTAGATTCAGGAGTGATTACAAACAAAGTTAGTAACTCAAGCCTTTGAATGTAATACTTTTAAAATAACTGATTTAATTTAAAAAAAAAAAGGACCAAAAAATTGGTACACATGTTTCTTACCTTATTGACATTGAGGCAGATGGCCAGAAGTATATTAACTTGATGTATTTAATTAATCGTTCATACCCACTAAAAAAAAAATTCCTTCGAATCCTTTCAACAGTCTTCACGCTCTCTCCTTCTGTTATTTGATCCATTTCATGTTTTTGGTTTGATTTGTTTGGTTGAGTGAACAACCAGTATCTTTACTTTTGTTTTTAATATAGTCTTTTGAAGAAGGAAGTTAAAAACGATTGAGTTTTGTGATAGGGTCAAACATAAAGTTATTGGAAATCTAACTAAAATTTAATTAAAATTTGATTTATATTTAACTAAAATTTATAAAGCTTATGTGTCAAAACGAAAAGTGTTGATGTGTCAACTTCTTGTGAGAGACACTCAACTTTTCTTCAAACTAGATATTATATCAACGCTACGCGTGAGTTTTTTTTATCAATATATGAGTTTAATATTATATTTGGACTTGCTAAGTTTTAAATTAGCTAGACATTGACATATTTGAATGAAAAAGTATAATGATAAGAAACTGAAGCAATCGTAGAA